ATTCATAATTGCCAAAATTTGGAAGGAACCAAGATGTCTTTCAAGTAGGTGAGTGGATAAGTAAACTGATACATGCAGACAATGGACTAGTATTGAACACTAAAAAGAAATGAACTATCAAGTCATGAAAGATGTGGAAGCAGCTTAGACACATATGACTAAGTGAAAGAAGCCAGTCTGAAAAGGCTACATTCTGTATGATTCCAACTATATGACATTCTAGAAAAGTCAAAACTGGAAATGGTAAAAGGATCAGTCATTGCCACAGGCTAAAGGGTAGGGGAAGAGATAAATAGGCAGGGCACAGAGGATTTTTAGGACATTGAAACTACTCTGGGGGCCGGCTCCGTAGCCGAGTGGTTAAGTTCTCGTGCTCTGCTGCGGCGGCCCAGGGTTCATATCCTGGGCACGGACATGGCACCGCTCGTCAGGCCACACTGAGGTGGCGTCCCACATTCCACAACTAGAAGGACCTGCAACTAAGATATACAACTGTGTACTGGGGGGTGGCGGGGGGGTTGGAGAGATAAAGCAGAAAAAAAAAAAAAAAAGATTGGCAACACTTGTTAGCCCAGGTGCCAATCTTTAAAGAAAGAAACTACTCTGTATGATACTATAATGGTGGATACATATCATTATACATTTATCCTAACCCATAAAATGTACAACACCAAGAATAAAACACTGATATAAACTGTAGACTCAGGGTGATAATGATGTCTCACTGTAGGTTCATCACTTGTAACAAATGTCCCATCTGGTGGGAGATGTTGGTAATGGGGGAGCTATGCATGTGTGGGGCAGGGGTTATATGGGAAATATCTACCTTCTGCTCAGCTTTGCTGTGAACCTAAAACTGTTCTAAAAAATAAAGTCTACTGGAAAAAAAAGAACCTGTGCAAAGCGGTTAGTGGCATATTAACATTGAGAACAGCAAAATTCTATCTATAATGAAAAAATAATATCATTAACTTGAATTTTTTGGTCATGTGTTGTTTGTACTGGATAAAGTTTTCTGGTTTTGTAGTTCTGTAAAGGCTATAAGCATAAGAAGTGTATATCTCTTTTTATGTTTGTATTATTTTTAGGTAATGTAAAAAATACTCTGTCAATCCTAGGGATTCATATTATTACTCACATTTGAAAAACACTAATATAAGTAATCTAATAGAAAAAGTGGAAATCAGTATATTACTAATGTAGAATCAGGATATCAAATCTTATCTTGGGCCCTGTCCACAATTCCCTAATTTTTCCCTCCCTCTCAGTTTAAAATTTGTTTGTTAATGTATTTTGGTAACAAAACAATGCAGGAATTAACTCTTCTTTTTAGAATATGTAAATATTCTAACCTGAGAATAACTGGAATTTGGAAGTTTTGATCTGGCAGTGGAAATTTGGGTATAGAGTTCTGCCAGGAAGAATGCTGCTACCTGCATGTTGAAGTCTGCCTGCCAAGCAACGTCTGCCTCCTTGACCCTGGACTTTTCAGTTATTCTGAGGTTAATGATTGCAAGCTTATGTTTGGCCCTTCTTTATATGCCAACAATACAATGTGTGTTAACTTACATGTGAAATCATGAGTGGGAAAAAGCTGTTAACAGAAAGGCCCTCTAATGAACAAGTGAAAAGTTAGGGCCAGTGGAGTCAAAATGGAAGCTGTTAGTCACATTTTTAAAATCGCAAGTGGATTACTGACTGCTGCCACCTGCTTTCCTTCAGTGAACACACAATCAAAAATATTTGACAGTACCACCAAGATCACAAAACGTGCTAGATTTGGACTTTCATAGAGAAAGACAAGACTTTGTAAGTAAGAATTCCTATAAAAAGAAGATGGTGAATAAATGATGTAGCTAATAGTTGTAGGTTAATCTCTCTGTCTCAGTTCGACATCATCACTGACTTGTTTACTTCATAAATTAAAATTTTTAGAGCCAGCCCTGATGGCCTAATGGTTAAAGTTTGGCATGCTCTGCTTCAGCAGCACGGGTTCAGTTCCCCTGCACAGATCCACACCACTTGTCTGTCAGTAGCCATGTGTGGCAGCGGCTGACATAGAAGAACTAGAAGGACTTACAGCTAGAATATACAACTGTGTACTGGGGCTTGGGGAGAAAAAAAAAAAGAGGAAGATTAGCAACAGATGTTAGCTCAGGGTGAATCTTTCCCAGCAAAAGAAAAAATTGATGTCTTCACATTTTTCTCCTAAATGATTTACTACTCATATTCAGTATACATATATATTTGACAATTTTTTTCAACTGGCTATTCATTGTCTCTTCCTTTTTATTTATTTTTTTGAGAGATAATTGACATATAACATTATGTTTGTTTCAGGTATACAGGATAATGAGTCAGTATTTATATATATTGTGAAATGATTACCACAGCAAATTTAGTTAACATCCATCACCACATATAATTACAAATTTTACTTTCTTGTGATCAGAACTTTTAACACCTACTATCTTAGCAACTTTCAAAGATAGAATACAATATTATTGACTGTAGTTACCACGTTTTACATTACATCCTCAAGACCTGTTTATTTTGTAACTGGAAGTTTGTACCTTTTGACCACCTTCACCTATTTTACCTACCCTCCACCCCCTGCCTCTGGCAACCACCAGTCTGTTCTCTGTATCTATGAGTTCAGTGTTTTGGGTGTTTATTATTTTTAGATTCCACATATAAGCGAGATCATATGGTATTGATCGTTCTCTGACTGACTTATTTCACTTAGCATAATTACCTCAAAGTCCATCCATGTTGTCACAAATGGCCAGATGTCCATCTTTTTATGGCTGAATAATATTCCATCGTATGTATGTACGTATGTATATATATATATTCACACACACCACATTTTCTTTACCCATTCATCCATCAGTGAACACTTAGGTTGCTTCCATGTCTCAGCTCTTGTAAATTATGCTGCAGTGAACATGGGGGTGCATATATCTTTTCCAGTTAGAATTTTCATTTCTTTTGAATAAATACCCAGTAATGGGCTAGCTGGATCATATGGTTGTTCTATTGTTTAATTTTTTGAGGAACCTCCATACTGTTTTCCATAGTGACTACACCAATTTACATTCCCACCAACAGTACACAAGGATTCCCTTTTCTCCGCATCTTCACCCACTCTCTATTTCCTTTCAGAGGATTTTTACTTTAAATATTTTTCTTACTTTTCTTAATGTGACATTTCAGGATCCCAGCCATTGTCTAAATTGTGAAACCAATTTTCCTTTTTTTAAATCCAGTATCTTAGCCACATAATGAAGTGATGTTTTTCAAATTAGAAACCATGGCACAAAGTAGCAGAAACAGTTTTAATTCAGTTGCCCCCCACTTCTGTCTCCCCTCCCTCCCCCACATGCCACTGAATCCTTTACAGTGCGTGGTCTTCAGGGGCAGGAGTTCTGACTTACACTTCCAGGTGTAACTTCAATGGGTCAGAGTAGGCAGCAGGAGGCAGACATTTATGATCAGTGTGTGTATGTATTTATTTGTATGTGTATATCTCAAAAGCATATTAGACTCTGACACTAGATGGCTCACCCATCCAGCTATGTGCTGTCACATATTTTAAAGTTTATCTTGTTTGAAAGTGGCAACAGATGACAAATTGAGCATTTTATTCAATGTTGAATTTCAATTAGCATGATTTTTAAAATGTATTAGGTTATAGTTCACATTCTCAAAGTTTTCTAATGCACTAAAGGTCTCAACAGAATTCATGATCTTAATTTAAAACCCAAATTGTTTCTGCTACCAGTTTTTTATTACTTTGTTCATACACTTAATATTTCCTTTGTAAAGCAACTTTAAACAGGCTTTTCAATACTATTTCATCCTACATTTAGTTCAAGTAATTCAAATTTTACAGTAAAAGAAGATGGAGCACTGAAACTGTTGTTTCCTTCTTAACAGAAATGAAAAAGTACATGATTTTTATTTTAAAAGGAATGCTCCATTTATACAGAAGGGCAACTTTCCCCTACTCTTAGCTTTAATGAGTTTAATAAATGAAGCAGCAATGCTATACTAGTCTCCTTAATTTACTTAATTATGAAATATAATTAGCTTGTTTCTCATACTTGTCAAGATGTACCAGTCTTTGTTTTAGCTTATACCATGATCATTGTTAAAACTCACCAATCACCAATGAAAGAACGCTTGTTAGACATATATCTACCTCCTTGATTTAACCTGAACATTTGTAATATATTTTCCATTATATAATTATACATTTCTCCTTAGATTTAGTGTTATCTAAAAATTATGGATAAACAGTCACTGGGATTTAAGTTCAGCGTTAACTTTTCTTTTTTTTTTAAAGATTTTATTTTTCCTTTTTCTTCACAAAGCCCCTCAATACACAGTTGTATATTCTTCGTTGTGGGTCCTTCTAGTTGTGGCATGTGGGATGTCGCCTCAGCATGGCCTGATGAGCGGTGCCATGTCCCTGCCTAGAATCCAAACCGGCGAAACCGTGGGCCGCCAAAGCGGAGCATGGGAACTTAACCACTCTGCCACGGGGCCGGCCCCAGCATTAACTTTTTAATGATACTGAAAGAAATTATCATCACACTCCAGCAGAATAATTTTAAAAGATACACGCACATGCACAAACACAGAGTAATTTCCTGCTGAATTGGTTATAAAGGCATATAAGAAAGTCCGTGAATAAACAAGGCTTCTTCTTTCGGAATCAAATGTAGCTGTGTACCTTGTATAAAGTGCAGTCCATTGTACTTACTGATAGACTCACAGGCAAGTCTGTAGATTGATTGGTTCCTTCTTTTAAATTCTTCATCCACCTCATTTTCTTCTTGAGTACTTGTGGAAAGAATGATGACACTGGTGACTATTTTCTTCTTTATGTTCTTTTCTCCTTGTTTTGAGAAATATTTAGTAATATATATATTAAAGTCTACTGACTTATACTAAGCTATGTTAAGAAATTATTTCCAATGTGTTTGTACCAACAGGTTGGGGATAGTATTGTTCACAAAGCCAGAGAGACCTTGGAACAAGCTATTAAACTGGTGAATGATACCAAGAAGTGGGGTGCTAGAGTTGTATACGGTGATACTGACAGGTAATGAGCTTTCTGTTTGTAGTTGTCTTTTTGCATTTCCTCAGATACTCATTTAAATGTTTGAAATCGCTTAAGGAGAAGCCTTCCTAAAAGTAGAGTTCTACTTAAGTTCTTTCCAGTCCTTATGATCTCTTGATCAGAGTTAGCAGAGGTCCTGATTTACCAGATATGATCTTAAGAGACAGAAAATGTAAGTATCCTGAGCCACAAACTGTGAAGATTCCCATGGCATCCCTCCAGGTAGCCAAGTAGATAGTGATCTACAAAAAACTGCACACACCGGAGTCTATTCTGTTTAAAGAAACAGCTTTTAATGTGAATGATGCTTCAAAAAGCTGCAGCTCTCTGAATTTAAACATCTGTCTTAAAATAATTAAACATTTTGAAAGACAGTTGCCAAAGCTCTGAGTAGTTAACTTTTCACTAGGTCCCAAAATCTGTTGACCTTCTACAAAAAGTTTGTATAGGCAAATACAGTTTTCCATTTGATTCCAGAGGGCTCATAGACTTCCTGAAGCCCAACATCCACGGACTGACAAAGGATAGGACTGCCTTTGAATCCTGAATTAATAACCTCAGCCTGCTTGCTTGCTTTGATATTTTTCAGGGTCCAGTTATTTGTGTAACATCTTATTTGTATGACTTATTAAAATTCTTCTAGAATATAGGTATTACACAAATTTCTGGGACTCTGAAATTTTTTTCATATTGAAGGCTTAGAGTCACAGTGTGATCATGCTAAGAGCACTTACCTCAGGAGCTCTGATCACTTTACAGTCCAACGAAGCAATAGGAGATAATGCTTCTAATTATTAAAAATAGATTCTAGGTAATCCTTAAGCCAGACTGAGAAAGACAAACACCAGATGATTTTACTCATATGTGGAATATAAACAAACACATGGACAAAGAGAACAGTTCAGTGGTTACCAGGGGAAGGGGGGTGGGAGGTGGACACAGTGGGTGAAGGGGAGCACTCATGTGGTGACAGTCAAGAAATAATGTACAAGTGAAATCTCACATTGATGTAAACTATTATGAACTCAATAAAAAAATAGATTCTAGGTAATCTTTAAACAGCGTTTAATCTTCTTCAGTTCTTTAATGAATATACAATCAGCATAATCATATTAATACTGAATGAAACCTTGCCTCTTATAGCAGCTGTTTCATTTACCAACAGGTGGGGATAGTTTCAGGTTATCCAGGCCCTAATTATCCATAGTCTCTCCTGTTCCCCATCAAAAGCTGTGCCTTAGTTTGACTTAGAGTATTTCACATCTCTGTAAAACCACTTCAACTGAGTAGTCTAGCAAAATAAAAGTTACTAGAACATAGTTTTGTACCTTGTTAGCAGAGCTCCTTGCAAAGTATTTAGGGAAGAGGAAAAAGTTACAAATTGTTGAGTTTAATTCAGGGTCATACATGTCGGTGGTTAACAACACACACAAAATCAGCAGTTGGCATGATTCTGCTTGTAGTTGTTATTTAACCTTTCAGATCTTTGGGAATTCAAACAGACCAAAAAACACAGACTCACAGAATGTTGGAGCTAGAAGAGGACTTTGGTATTATTTAGGTCAGCAGTTTTCATGCTATTAAGAGGAACCCTAGGAGAGACATTCTCAGGTGCTGCTTAAAAGCACATTCCCCTAGGATAAGAAATTTGTCTAAGGAGCCAGCCTGGTGGTATAGTGGTTAAGTTTGCATGCTCTGTTTCGGTGGCCCAGGATTCGTAGGTTTGGATCCTGGGCATGGACCTACACACTGCTCGTTAAACCATGCTGTGGTGGCGTCCCACATACAAAATAGTGGAAGATTGGCACAGATGTTAGCTCAGCAACAATCTTCCTCAAGCGAAAACAAGATGGGCAACAGATGTTAGCTCAGGGCCAATCTTCTTCACCAGGAAAAAAAAAAAAGAAGAAACTTGTCTAAGATCACCCAACTAGTCAGTAGCAGAGCTATAAATTGGTACTCAGTGGGTTTTTTTTTTATTTCTAGCTGATGCTTTGTCTCTACATCAGACTTCCTAGGTATTTTATGATTCTGATGAAGGAAATTTATTTGCAATATCATTAGAACTTTTGATCACTATTCATTAGCTGATTCATTCAACAAATGTTTATTGAAATATACTAGATGAGGGCAATTCAGTCTGAAGCATGCATTCTCAATGGTAATAATATCGCCCCAACAGGATACAAATTTGTCCTTGGGGAGCAAAAATAGTTAAATATTACAGTGGGTTTTGGCCCCACAAAGGTCAACCCTACCCAACAACCTTTCATTCCTTAGTAATTACTTTATCTTGTTAAATCTACTTTTAACTTTTACCTTTGGGAGGACAATAATGATAAAAGATTGAGAAACACTCCTCTTAGGGATAATAGATAATACTGGTGGAATGAAAAATAGTTCTTAATTGAAAGTGAGGAAATCTGAATTCTCTTTCTAGATATACTCCTAGCTATTGCATGGCCATTGACAAGTTGCTTAGCTCTCTGAGACTAAGTTGCATCATCATCAGAATGAAGGAAATCTGATAGATGATGGTGAATGACCATTGCCTCCCTCAAACTTCAAGACTGCTGATTTTATGAATCTTGGGGCCTAGCTAAGGGAAATTGGTTACCAAAGCATCAAAATTACTCTGTTAGAAGGGTGTCTCTCTTTCTAAAGCAATTACACATTATTGTCCATTTAGAAAGTATAATAAATAAACCCTGTATTTTTTATATTATAGTGGTTCAAACAATGTGGTTCTCAATAATATTTATGACTTACTAATCTGACCTACTTCTATCAGTTAGTGAAGCTCTCTATAGTAGTGATTCTCAGACAGGTTAGGCAAGGGCATTTGGCAAGACACACATCCAGGGCAGCAGAAGGGCAGTGGGGAGCTAAAATAAGAATTCCTTGGGAAATTCGTCTGAGTATAATTGAGAAAAGCCATGTGATTTTCATGGCTCTAAATGTGTACTTGGATCTCTAAACCTAAAGATAAATGTTATTTAACTAGATTAAAAGCATCAGTGCCAGACAAATAGAAACTTATTTTAAAATAGTCTTTCTCTTTGTAGGCTAGTCACTTGCATTCTTAAGTGACCAAAAACTTCCATTAAAAAAAAAACAAAAAAACTTCCATTAATCCTGGCCAGCTCTCTTGAAACTTAGCTCCAGATAAAACTGGCCAAAACAGTGTAGACGGACTCAGATAAACCCACTAACACTACTGGGAAAATTCTCAAATATATACGCTATAATAATAACTTTTAAGATGTGAAGTATGTATACCTTTAATGTTTATCAACTTTATTAAGGTTTACTTTTTAACAAAAAAAGTGCACCGTGTGTGGTTCAGTATACAAATGCATAGACCCATGTAACCAGCTAACACCCCGGTCAAGATAGAGAACATTTCTATCACTGTAGAAAGTTCTCTCCTGCCCCTTTGCAGTCAATCCCTCACTTTCATCCCCTACCCCTAGGCAGCCACTTAACTGGTTTCTGTTACCACAGCTTAGTTTCGCCTGTTCTAGAACTTTATAGAAGTGTGTAAAACATTTAATTTCAAAATGTTTTCATTCATCATCGCATCTGAACATTTTAAGCATAATAATCTTTAAAAAAAAAAAAAAAACAGGTTGGCAGTTAGATCTAAATTAAATATACCCTTAACATATGGCTCAGCAATTCCACTCTTTGATATACCTAAGAGAAATGAAAACTAAGACTACACAAAGACTTAATGCAAATCTTCATTGGAGCTCTATTCATGATAGTCCAGAACTGCAAAGAATCCAAATGTCCATCAATGAGTGATGGATAAACAAACGTGGCATATCCATGCAATGGAATATTAATTCAGCAAGAGAAAGGAACCAGTTCCTATTACTTAAAAAGCATGAATGAATCTAAAAAATATACTGAGTGAAAGAAGCCAGACATAAGAGAGCACATACTATATAGATCCATTTATATAAAATTCTTGAAAAAACAAAACTAATATATAGTAACTGGAAGCAGGTCACACGTTGCCTGGGGCTGGGAGTAGAGTGGAGAATAATTGCAAAGGAGTACAAGGGAACTCTGGGGGATGATGAAAATGTCCTATATCTTGATTATGGTGGTAGTTATACAAGTGAATTAGTTTTCTAGGGCTGTCACAGACTTGATGGCTTAAACAAAACAGAAATTTATTTTCTCACAGTTTTAGAGGCTTGAAGTCCAAGATCAAAGTGTTGGCAGGTGTGGTTTCTCCTGAACCCTCTCTCCTTGGCTTGCAGGTGGCCACCTTCTTGCTGTGTCCTCACATGATCTTCTGTTCATGTGCATCCCTGGTCTTTCTTTGTATATCCAAATTTCGTCGTCTTGTAAGGACACCAGTCAGATTAGGCTCGCCCTAACCACTGAAATTAGGGCCTCATTTCACCTTAATTGTCTGTTTAAAGGCCCTTTCTCCAAATACGGTCACATTCTGAGGTATCAGGGGTTAGGGCTTCAACATACGAATTTGAGGGGGACACAGTTCAGCCCATAACACATCTATACGTTTGTCAGCATTCACGGAGTACCCTTAAAATGTGTTCATTTTATTATATGCATATTATAGCTCAACAAAGTTGATTTTAAAAATAATATTTCAAAAGGAGATTTCATAGTAATCTATTCAAAAAATAAGGCTATATTAGTGTAATGAGCATCAGAAGAGCCTAAAAAGAAAATATTATAAAAAGCTTCAAGCGGTTCAGAGTGTAGCATAGCTTAAACGTATAATTGACTATCTAAGCCCTGTTGGTTCTGCCTTAGTGAATGTTAAAATTAATTCAGACTGAGACCATTTTTATTTTAAAGACCTTAAGTAATATTGAATAAATATTCCTTTTCTTAAGCTTTTCATATCAGACTCTAAGGCAAGTGCTGTCTACAGTATTGGCAGAGAAAGAGTTTTTCCAAAGAAACCATCCAAATGAGATTTAAAGTCCAATATAAAAACAATTAAGAAATATGAGATTGGTTTATGTGGCTCCAAGACTAGAAATAAGAATCCAAAATTCATGTTTCAAGATATTGTTCATTTCCAATACTTTGTCTTTCCACTAAAACTATAAGTGAAGATCAACTTTATAAGTTCTCCTACTTAAGTATATTTATTAGCCGTTGTTTCTATCAGTCTCAAATTGTGGTATATACTGAAATGTCAAGTGCTATTATAAAGTTAACCAGATTGCATTAGGAAAAAAAAGCCCAATACTTTTGTTTTATCTGTTATTTTTTAGTATTTTTAATATTGGAATTTTTGGCCACCTTAGAAATCCTCCCCTCTTGACCTGCATATATTGCTGGTGGGAATGTACATCAGAAATATCTTTCTGGAATTCAGTTGGGCAGTATCTTACCAAAAATATTCTTGGTGTATATCATTTATCCAGAAATTTCATTTCTAGGAATTCTAAGGACACAGAGCATGCCAAATTATTATTATATATTGAAATATTAGCAAAAAAATTTAACCTAAATTTTCAGTGATAGGGGTTTGGTTAAATTATAATATATCATAATTGAAATACAGTACAACTATTAAAATGATGTAAAAGAACTAAGTGACATGGGAAAATGTTCACAATATACCGTTAAATGAAAGGAGAAAGTTACCAAACAGTATGATCTATTATCCCAAATGAGAAAAGATTTACAGATATACACTATGATTTGTAGCGTCTTTTTTCTGAATGGTAAGATTATAGATGGCTGTTTTCTTCTTTGTGCCTTTTTGTGTTTCCTAACTGTTCTTCAGGGAGCATATGTTACAGAGTATGTGTGTCTTTTTAAAGTTGGGTCATTCTAGAAGGAAATTTCCTCCCATATAACAAATAAATTTCCATTTCTTTACGATCACATTTTCTCTTATTTTATAATTGACGTAATTGTGTGTTATACAAAGCTGTAAATGTCTAGAAATGACCCAGGACCTTTCCTGGCAACTGTGATCGCTGAGCTGGTCTGTGTGTAGCTAAACTAGAAATATTAGATGTCTTAAGTCTTAATGATCTGTAACAAGATATACCATGAGTATGCAAGGGAAGTGTAATAACACAAAGCTTAGATAAGAAGCAACTTAATAAGGAAGAGTAAGGAAGGAAAAAGGTGTTCTTTGGTATTAGAGTAGTAGCCAGGAAAGTTACTCTTGATGACATTTTTGTTACCGTGACTTCCTCATTACCCTACTCTATTTTTAATCCTCTTAGTATGTTTGTACTACTGAAAGGAGCCACTAAGGAGCAGTCTTTTAAGATTGGTCAGGAAATTGCTGAAGCGGTAACTGCTACCAACCCTAAACCAGTGAAATTGAAGTTTGAAAAGGTAAGAGAAATGTAATACTAATAATCACATCTGAAATACACATACCTTCTAGAGATTTCTGACTTGCTCGATACATGTTGAGAATTAGTAACACTGTATGGGTCTATAAAAGTGTTAAATTTAAAATATTTTCCCATAATTTTCTCCATTTTTTTAGTAATGTCTTTATATAAATGATTGTTCCAGTTAACTATTGCTGTGTAACAGACCACCCCAAACTTAATGGTGTAAAACAACCACCGAGTTATTATGCTTTCAGATTTTATGGGTCAGGAATTCAGAAAGGGTACAGCAGGATGGCGTGTTTCTGCTCCACAATGTCTAGGTCCTCAGCTCGGAAAACTTAAAGGCCAGAGGTGACCCAACTGACAGCTCAGGGCTGAAATCGCCTCGGGCTTGTTCACTCTCATGTCTGGGGGTTGATACTGGCTGCTGTTTGGGACATCAGCTCAGGCCGTCAGCTGCACCACCTACTCTTGGCCTTTCCCTGAGGCTACTTGTTCTTCTTTATAACTTGATGGCTGAATTCTAGGAGTGAACATCCCAAAGAGAAACAGATGAAAGCTGTTTTGCTTTTTATGATCTAGTCTCAAAGTCACACAGCGTCATAACCTATCTAGATTTAAGAGGGAACACAGACCCCTCCCCCTGAATCTCTTAATGGGAAGAATGTCAGTCACATTGTAAGAAGACTAAGTGGGATGGGAGATATTAGTTCTTTGGAAAATCTAGTCTGCCACAAGGATCTTTGACTATTTTCATTTTACTTTAGGTATCAAATTTGTATTTAGTTCTTTCTATGTAAAAGATACTGAGCTAGGAGAGGTATGGAATGCAAAGAAGCATGAAACACAGTCCTGCCCTCTAAGAGCCGGTAATCTAAAAGGAAAGATTAGAAATGTATATAAGTGATCTCTTTTATTGTAAACTTACGGAAGTCTCATGAGAGCTGTCTGCCTAAGCACTGTAAGAGCACAAAGAAAGGGAGGTATGATGTCCTCCTGGGCTGGATGGGGAGACTCCATGTAGGAGGTCGTATTGCACCGTGTCTCAGAAAATGGTTAGAATTTCACTAGGCACCATGGAGCTGCAATTCTGCATGGAAGAAAATGGCACGTAGAAGGATATGGAGGTGGAAAAGCACAGTATGGGAATACAGAGTAGCAGGAGAGAAATCTGGAAAAATAAATTTAAGACCAGATAGTAGAGTGTCTTGAATGCCAAGCTAGAGTGTTTAAACTTTATTCAGGCAAGTTTATCACACAAGAGCATGACATGGTCAGAGCTGTTGGGCGAGTGGCATATGAGACAGATTGGGAAGAGGAGAATCTCAAGACAGGATGCTTCTTGCAACCTGAATAGTCTTGAACTAGTGAAAATAACAAAAGAACAGTTCATGAGCTGTTGAGAAAGAAGTATGGGCAGGAGTTATAAGTGATTGATTTAGCAGAACAGATGTGGAGAGGAAGAAAGAGGGAGAAAAGAATCAAGGGTGGCTCGCAATGTTTATCGTGTACCTACTCTGAGGTGAGGATTGTGCTAGAAGAGATTCAAAGAGGACTTAAATATGGTATCTGCCCTAAAGAGCATTCTATTTGGGGGAGAGAGAGGAGAGAAAAATTAGAAAACAGAGTGAGCATGGATGCTATTCTAGAGGTATGCGTATGGTACTGTGGACATCTGGCAAAGTGAAGAGCGTAATTTGCTTGGAAAATAACACCAGACATGAAGATTTACCTGAAGTAGATGACAGACCTAAACATAAAAGCAAAAACTACAGAACTTCTCAAAGAAAACAAACGTTTGTTAAGAATTGTGATGCAGGGCCAGCCCAGTGATGTAGTGCTTAGATTCACACACTCTGCTTCAGCGGCCTGGGGTTTGCAGGTTAGGATCCCAGGCAGAGACCTACACACTGCTCATCAAGCCATGCTGTGGAGGCATCCCACATACAAAATAGCGGGAGATTGGCACAGAGGTTAGCTCAGCAACAATCTTCCTTGAGCCAGACTAGGATTGGCAACAGATGTTAGCTCAGGGCCAATCTTCCTCACCAAAAAAAAGAAGAAGAAGAAGAATTGTGATGCATATGTTCATGATGAATATTGGTCTGTAGTTTTTTTTGTTCTTCTGATTTGAGGACAGAAAAAAGGCTGGCCTTGTAAAATGAGTTGGAAGGGTTCCCTCTTCTATTTTCTGAAAGAAAAAGTGTGTACAGTTATTTCTTTCTTAAATGATTGATAGAATTCACCAGTGAAGCCATCTGGTCCTGAAATTTTCTTTGGGGTTAGGGAGAAATTTTTAATTACAGATTAAACATCCTTAATATATATTGAATTATTCACGTTTTCCTCCCATGTTTTGATAACTTGTGTTGGCAAAGAATTTGTTCATTTCTCCTAAGTTGTCACATTTATTGGCATGAATTATTTTTAGTTCCTTGTTATGATTTTGATATCTGTAAGATCTTTAGTGACAGCCCTCCTTTCACTTTTGATGTTGATAATTTATGGGGTTTTTTCCTTTGATCATTCTAGTTTGAGGTTTATCTGTTTATTGAAGTTTTTGAAGAACCATTTTATTAATTTTCACTATTTATTATTTCCTTCCTTATACTTACTTTGGGTTTAGTTTGCTTTTCTTGTCCTCTTAATTTAGAAGCTTGAATCATTAATTTTAAACAAATATTTTTTAATATAAGCATTTAAAGATATAAATTTCCCTCTAAATACTACTTTAGCTTCAAATGTTGATAGCTTGTGTTTTCATTATTACTCATTTGTTTCAATGATGATGACCTGTAGATTATTTAGAAGGGTGTTGTTTAAATTCCAAATATTTAAGGATATTCTAGAAATTGTTTTGTTATTATTTCTAATTTAATTCCATTGCAGTCAGAGAACATACTCTGTATGATTTCGATGCTTTTAAGTTTATTGTAATTTGTTGTTTGGTCCAGCGTATGGTCTATCTTAGTGAATGTTCCCATGTGATGTTGAAGAGCCTCATGTATGCTGGTTGTTGGGTGGAATGTTCTATAAATGTCACTTAGGTTAAATTAATTGACAGTGTTGTTGAAGCCTTCTGTATCCTTAGTGATTTTCCATCAGTTTCTAAGAGAGAAGTGGCTCAAGTCTGCAAGTATAATCATTTGCCTGTTTCTTCCTTTTAGTTCTGTCAGTTTCTATTTCATACATTTTGAATTTTTCTTATTAGGTGCATACACTTTTAGGATTATGTGTCTTCTTGATGAATTTATATTTTATTTTTGATAATATTCCTTGTCTTGAAATCTATTTTTTCTAATATCATTATATTGCCACTCAGCTTTGTTTTGATTCATGTTAGCATGTCTGTCTTTTTCTGGGTTTTATTTTTAACCTTTCTTTTTTTTTTTTTAAAGATTTTATTTTATTTTATTTTATTTTATTTGAGGAAGATTAGCCCTGAGCTAACTGCTGCCAATCCTCCTCTTTTCGCTGAAGAAGACTGGCCCTGAGCTAACATCCGTGCCCATCTTCCTCTACTTTGTATGTAGGACACCTACCACAGCATGGCGTGCCATGCGGTGCCATGTCCACACCCAGGATCCAAACCAGCGAACCCTGGGCCACCGAGAAGCGAAACATGCGAACTTAACCACTGCGCCACTGGGCTGGCCCCTATTTTTAACCTTTCTATGTCCTTATGTTTAAAGTGGATTTCTGGTAGATAGCTTATCACTGAGTCTCATTTTTTGATTAGATCCAACCTGATTATGTCTGCCTTTTTTTTTTTCCTAAAGATTGCCACCTGAACTAACATCTGTTGTCAGTCTTTTTTCTCCTCCTCCCCCTCCCCCTCCCCCTCCTCCCCCTCCCCCTCCCCTCCTCCCCCTCCCCCTCCTCCTCCTCCTCCCCCTCCTCCCCCTCCTTCTCTCTCTCTCTTCCCCACCCCCCAACGTCCCCCAGTACATAGTTGTATATTCTAGCTGTAGTCCCTTCTGGTCATGCCGTATGGGATGCCACCTCAGCATGGCTTGATGGGTAGTGCCCAAGTTCACATCGGCAGAGCATGTGAACTTAACCACTCTGCCACCTGGCCAGCCCCTATGTCTGCCTTTTAATTGGCATGTTTAAACCATTTACATTTAATGCGATTATTGATAAAGCTTGAGGGCAGAGGAAAGGACCAACTTGGTAACATTAAAAAGGGTGGGGGCACACACCCATTGATCTAGGAATTCCTCTTCAAGGAATTTATCCTACGGATTAATCCATGCAAGGTTGTTTACTAGAACACTGTTTGTAATTCCAAAAGATTGGAAACATCCTAAATGATCGTAGTAGGTAACTGGTTATATAAATTAGGATACCCTCACATAATGGATGACTGTGTAGCTACAAAACAAAATGATGGATGGAATGCTCTCCAAGATAAATTATTAAGTGAGATAAGCAAAGTGCAGAATGATGTATATGGTAAGCTACTGTTATGTGTATAAGTACATGTGTTTGCATGGAATATCTCTGGAAGGATAGACAGGAAATCAATAACAGAGGATGCCTCTAGGGTAGGGAAAGTAGAGGCTGGAGAACTAGGACTTTTCATTTTATCTTCTCTTATAACGCTTTAATTTCGTACCATGTGTAGGTGTTACTAAAGTAATTTTTTCATTGTTTAAAAAGATAGATGATTGTTGATTTTTGAGAGAGAAGTGTCAGTTGAGGACAGAGCAAAATTGATAGTGCAAGTAAAGGAGTGAATGAGTGAGTGGTAGGGAAGTAAAGACAACTCATTTTGTGTATTCTCATGAATTGTGAATTTGTTGTATCATGAATTTTTTGGGCCCTAAGCCATATTTAGAATTCTTTTCTTTTTCTCTTTCTTTCTTTCTTTTTTTTTTTGTAATTGACATTTGGTTAAGAGAGAAAAAGACATAAAAATAATACATTCGTGGTACGGAAAAAGTGGTTATTGAAAGGCATTTTGTTAATTTCATCACAGGTATATTTGCCCTGTGTCTTACAAACAAAAAAGAGGTATGTGGGTTACATGTATGAAACACTGGATCAAAAGGACCCAGTATTTGATGCAAAAGGAATAGAAACAGTCAGAAGAGATTCCTGCCCTGCTGTTTCTAAGGTAAGTTTTATCTATCTTATTTTCATCTTTAAGAAATAAATGGTTAAAGAAGCTGGTGAAAATCCTTAAGCACACATCTAGGTAGAGGAGCTGTAGCCTATATGACCGTATAACTCTAAGAGGAACTATATGATTTTTGAGAATTTCATTTCTAATGAAAAATTTAGTCAGTAGTTACTGACTTCTTCCCACACCTTCCTTCTATCACAATCGCTAAAAACAGTATGTGCACGTGAAAGAATTTCCTGCCTGATCACCTGGAGATGATAATACATGCTATCATATGACGACACCCAAAAGCTAGGGAGCAAGATAAAAAAGAGGAACTGGCAACAGAGGCATTTCATAAGTAATATAATCCAGCCTAGATTAGCTGAAATTTTCTTTACTTCAGTTATCAAATACAAGTTAGGAAGATTTCTAAACAATGGTACTATAAATTACCTAAATTTCTCAACCATAGTAATTTTAACCATAGTATTTTATATTTTTTCTTTACTCAAGTCCAAATTCCTTTTATTAACAAACCAAGAGTAAGTGGTATAAGTGGAATAGCACTCTACAAACTGAGTTTTATGAGAGCATTAGACAACAGTCCACCTATTATGTCAATATAGATATAATGTGTGAATCTGAGATATTGTTTAATACTAGTTTCTGGAAGAGATATCATCCAGTGCATTCTTTCTTTGAGGGCAGAATTGTACTTGGGCTAAATTAGCAAACTTGTTTTGTAAATATGTATGGGTTCCAGTACTCAGAATAAGATACAGAACTTTCACCTGGAACTAATTTAAGTTCAATCCACTACGTAAACCCATTGCATGTCAGTCATTTCCTAATAGAAATATTTCTAGTACAGAAACTTGTCACAATTAGTATATATTTATTGACACCGAAAACTGATTTTGACTTCACTGCTTGGTGATATTTAAACTTCTCTCTGTCCACCTCAATCAGGTCCTTTCTATAACAGGGTAGATAAAAACAATACATGAAATCATGTCTGGCTTCTTGTGCCTACAGTGCTTTTGGCTATTTAAGAAAATGTAAATGTTTCATGTTGCTCATCACATAGCAAGTATTTCATCGCCTGTCATCCCAATCTGATTTTCCTCAAACTACATGATATTCTACTTTTAGAAATAGCAAGCTATAAAGTCTCAAATATTTTCCCATTTCTAATAATTTTTATTATTCAATCATTGTAAATAGCAGGTTGTTAAGGCAGATCAACAAGTTACCCAGTAGTTATATAATTGAAAGTATAACAATAATGAGGAAATATACTAGGAGATATCTTATCTTTGTGAGGTTATCCCTTCTTTTTTCTTTTTTTAAGATACTTGAGCGTTCTCTAAAGCTGCTATTTGAAACAAGAGATATAAGTTTAATTAAACAGTATGTTCAACGACAATGTATGAAGCTTCTGGAAGGAAAGGCCAGCATACAAGATTTTATCTTTGCCAAGGAATACAGAGGAAGTTTCTCTTATAAACCTGGAGTTTGTGTGCCATCCCTTGAACTTACAAGGTAATGATGCTCACAACAGCACAACTCTCAATACCTAGCAAATGTAGTCCTGGGATTCTGAACACTTTGGAGTAGTGGACACCTACTCCAAGTAGATGGAAGGACACCTAGTCAACAGGCACAGACACAGAGCTGTTTCTTCACCTGCCCACATGAAGCCTCACTAAAGGTGAATGGTGCTCCCCATGGAAGCTCTGAAGAGGAAGAAGGAGCTCCTCTTCTGGGCTTCCCTTGGGAAACTAAATTCAGTGAAATTGTAATCGGTGTAGAGCTTGAATCTTTTGTTTTTGTCACATCAAAATCACTTCGTAGTTCTTAATATTAATCTACTAAAGCACTTTGATGGTTGTGGTTGTTAGTGCTGTCGAGTGGATTTCAACTCATAACAACCCTGTGTTCAGCAGAACGGAACCCTGCCTGGTCTTTTTGTGTCATCCTCTTACCTTCTATGTCAGACAGTGCTCCGCTGCTATTCATAGGGTTCTCATGGCCAATTTTTTGGAAGTGGGTGATCAGGTCCTTCTTAGTCTGCCTTAGTCTGGAAGCTCCACTGAAACTTGTCCACCATGGGTGACCCTGCTGGTATTTGAAATACCAGTGGCATAGCTTTCAGCATCACAACAACATGCAGACACCACAGTATGACAACCAACAGAGGGTGGTATGGTTCCCTGAGTGGGAAATGAACCCAGGCCGTGGTGGTGAGAGCACCAAATGTCAACCACTAGACCACCAGGGCTGGCTGCGTAGACGGTATCATTCTGGAGTCTCATTATTTAATCAGCTAAATATTCTCTTATCTTTCAGTGTTAGATTTATGATAGTTCTTACCCTTAGGGGATAGAAAACATTTTAAGCTAGCTGATATCTGCCAACTCATATTGTTTTCCAGGTAGCAATGATTCAGAGTAAGTTTTAAACTCTTAGAGGATATCCCCTTGGTGCCAACTACGTGACGTGTATATAGTTCTCAAAAAAAGTTGTAACTCTAACTTGAAGGTACCCCTTGTAGACTTCTCATACTTTCATTACTGTTTAATTCTCATGTAATTTTCTGGAAAGATGCCTTCCATGACAGTCTTTTCATATTTTATTTACATTTAAATAGGAAAATGGTTGCTTATGACCGGCGCTCTGAGCCTCGAGTTGGGGAGCGAGTGCCATATGTCATCATTTATGGGACCCCTGGAGTACCACTTATCCAGCTGGTAAGGCGTCCTGTGGAAGTCCTGCAGGACCCAACCCTGAGACTGAATGCCACCTACTATATCACCAAGCAAATCCTTCCACCCCTGGCAAGAATCTTCTCACTTATTGGAATTGATGTTTTCAACTGGTATCATGAATTACCAAGGGTAAGCCTACTAAATAGTACCCGTTCTATGACTGTAGAAAGACTTGGCTTAAAATTTCCAGTGGAGCTAAAGATTTTATTTATGTGCTATAAAAAGCAAAGCAGATGCTCGTCATCTTAAACTGGCTAAGGTGCCACACTCCTCCAGTTTCCTAAAAGAAACTTTTAAGTTTTCTAGACACCTTCCCAGCTGCTGGCAGACTGACCAAATTATAGAATACTAAAATAAATCCCACAACTATTCAGTGGTAAACACTTAGCTACAAAATAACTCAGAATAAACCAGCTAATAAAAAACAAATGGAGAGCAAAAATTCCTTCGATATGGGTGTCTAAGAAATGTATAAGATGTAGTATCTGGACATAGACCTGAGGAAACCAAACTAAAAAAATAATGTTAAAATAGGATTATACTAACGGAAAAGATGCAGTGTGGAATCTTAGCAAAGGGAGTTTCACTTGAACTCTTCTTTCTTAGTTTCTTCAGTAGAAGTCTGAAGGAGCGATGTATGATTCTGTAATAATCAGGGATAGATTGATTACTCTAGGAGAGTAGTAGTTTTTTGGGAGTTTTGTTTTGAGGAAGATTAGCCCTGAGCTAACATCCATGCCCATCTTCCTCTACTTTATATGTGGGACGCCTGCCACAGCATGGCTTGGTAAGCAGTGAGTAGGTCCACACCAGGGATCTGAACCAGCGAACCCTGGGCCGCCAAAGCGGAACGTGCACACTTAACTACTGTGCCACCAGGCTGGCCTGAGAGTAGTAGTTTTTTATCTACTGTTTAGAATTAGATCTGCTCAGTCATTTGCTGTTATCTCAGACTATGAAAGGCTGATGGTATTCAGGCAAACTGATAAAAGTTGATGCTTAAATTATTTTTACTTTCTCAGTATGACCTCAAGGAAAAGAATAAGCTAGGAAACGGGTTGAAGCTGTGCTCCAGAGAATCTGTGCTGGCTGACCTCTCTAGTGCTGTACCCTGGCTCTACACCAGAAAGCTCTTACTATTTTTTATTTCGTCACCAGTAAGAAAAACCAATGGCATTTATAAGAGGTTGACCTAATAACTTTTATGCAAAGTGATTTATAAGACACCAGGAGAATATGCCAAGGGTATAATAATATGATAATGTTATGTCAAAGTAAAAAGAGTCCCAGAAGACAGATCTCTGAGACCAGTATTAGCTTCAAATGAAGAACGCTTGGGTGACTTATATCTAATGACATTTGAAATGCTCCAGGTTTACTTTTGCTTGAATTTTGCACCCTACTGCCTAACAAGTTATTTTTAACCTTCCATTTGCCTTGTTTCCATGGCTCAAATTGTGCAGCCTTAAACAGTATCCACACTTAACTGGATTTCTTCCTTTGTCCTCTCTGCTCTCCATTGCCCTGTAGGATCTCACACATCTATGTATCTCAGCCCGAAAACTGAGCCATAGGAGACTATCTTTTCTTCCAAAAGAAAAAAACAATATGTCTGATGATACTGAGATGTAAGCTCTGTGAAAGGAAGGTCTTTATTCATTTCTGTAGCTGCCTTCTCTAGAGCAGTGCCTGACACCTAGAAGCTACTCAATATTTGTTGAACGAGTGAAATAATGCCTTAGTAAACCTGTAATTAGCAGGAGAATAGCAGCTCTGTTGTGAAGCTGGCCCAGAATTCTGAATTGATGTTTTTATAGATCCAGAAAGCCACTAGCTCCTCTCGAAGTGAACCTGGAGGGCGGAAAAGCACTATTTCACAATATTTCACTACCTTACGCTGTCCTGTGTGTGATGACCTGACTCAGCACGGCATCTGTAATAAATGTCGGAGCCAACCTCAGCATGTTGCAGTGATCCTCAACCAAGAGATTCGAGAGCTGGAACGTAAACAGGAGCAGCTTGTAAAGGTATGACCTTGTTCAAGAGACCCAGAATCCCAAGCAGCCTAATTCTTTGGGGAAATGTCATCAATTCTTGAGGTATACAGTATGAGATACAAAAGTGGTGTGAAAAATGGAGTACGAATTCTGAGTTAATAAACTTCTTAAAATATCATAATTGAATTAGGATATTAAAAATGGCTTAATTTGTTTTATAATTTATATTTTGGTTTTTATGAAATAGTATTGTATATAGTATTGTATATAGCATTGTATTGTGTTTGTTAAATCCCAGAACTACAACATCCATACACCCAATTTCTTTTATAATAATATTAAAAATAGAGAAAGAAGAGTACCAGTTGCTATATCTGCCATATCTACTCACCATTCCCATAAAAATCTGGTTGTCCTAGAGAATTGCTAGTAAACTTGGAAGGTTCTCAATTCTGAGAGTCCAGATAGAAAATTAACAGTTAACATGATTAAGTCTACTATATGCCAGAGATTATTGTAGGCCCTCTCACAGGTTAGTAAACTGACACAGGGGTTGAGGAATTGGCCCCATGTCACACTGCTAATAAGTGGCTGAGCTAGATAAAGACCTAAAATGCAGAGATGGTTTTTCAAACGCAGGAATTCTAGCAGAAATAAACAACAGAAATCTCTTGAAATAAGTTGGAAAATGAAATCTCAAGAAAAAAATTATCATAACACATTTTTTAAAAAACAAAGTATATTTCTTAAAGGAATGATTATATCTTATACCATCATATTTCAAGTTACTCTTTTTTTTTGAGGAAGATTAGCCCTGAGCTAACATCCGCCACCAGTCCTCCTCTTTTTGCTGAGGAAGATTGGTCCTGAGGAACATCTGTGCCCATCTTCCTCCATTTTTCATATGTGGGACACCTGCCACAGCGTGGCTTGATAAGCAGTGCATAGATCTGCGCCCAGGTTTCCCAACTTGCCAACCCGGGGCTGCCAAAGCCGACTGCGTGAACTTAACCACTGCACCACCAGGCTGGCTACTCAAGTTACATTTTTAACTTCAGGCTAGAGAAGAACAATTTTGAGGTGGAGTTTGTTTTGTTGTGTTTTGTCTTCTTTTAGAAGAGCAGTATTTAAAGTAATTGAAATGTTTTAAAACCAACAAATAATTGAGAGGCAGTGTGATTTTGTGGAAAATGAAACATGCTGATAGGAAATCAGGATTCTGGTCTGGACTTCCTAATAACGGCCATGTCCCTTGGCCTCAGTTTTATCAGAATGCAAATGGTGACCTGATGCTGTTTCGTAGGTTCCATCAGCTGTAACCTTGTAAATTCCTTATACAGTCATTCCTAGCAGCTCCTCAGCTCACAGGCCTCATGTAACCCAGCCAGCAGTAGGTAAAGGCCAGTCTCTGCACCTTGTCCTCAAGGTAAGAAGCTTTTGAACCAAGACATAGTATCAATCCACAGCCTCTTAGTAGGAGAACTTAGCTGCCCTGCAGGTGACCAGGGAGAGAAACCGTCTCTTAGGAGACTAGGCTCTTAAGAATTTGAATGATTATAGAAAGATGATTAAGGACTGGTAAAGTATAGACTGCTTCCTCTGCACCATTCTAGCTGCTCAATTTGTACTGGCAGAAAATGCTTTACTTTTAGAGAGGATAGCCAGTCAACCAGAAACAGATCTCATTAAGGATGGTGGGATCTAAAAGGTATGATGATTCTGATGCAACCACAGAAGCCTAGCTTGTCGAAATGATAGGTTGACTTTTCCCTCTCCCCTTCCATCTCCTAAAGAATTCTTAAATACCCTCATCTTTCTCCTTCCCTTCTGTGGCCATCCTAGTCCAAACCACCATTCTGTCTCCCCTAAACTCCTGCGGCAGCCTCCTGCCCTGAGCCCCTGCCATCCTAGCCATTCTCAACGCAGTAGCTAGAACAATCTTTTAAAAGTACAAATCCGGTGTTCTCGCTCTCTCATAAAATTCAAACTCCTTAGCATGCTTTATAAGTCTTTCTCCATTCTGGCCCCTGCCTGCCACCTCTCTGTCACCGTTTCTTGCCCTTTTCCCTGTCACACTCTATCATCCAACCATGAACTTCTTTCAGGCTGTGATGCCCCTTAGTCCGTCCCGCGTCCTGGCCTTTAGACACCCTGTTCCCTCTCCCTGGAATGTTGCCCTCTGCCCCGGCTAATCATCATCTGAGAGGAATCAGCTTCACCCCCAGGCCAGGGGAAGCCTTCCCTGCGGTGGGCTCCTGCCGTAACCTCCTCTGCTTTCCTCTGGTTACATGTGTCTGTCTTCCCCACCAGACAGCAGTGAGCCCAGTGAGGGCAGAGCCCTACCCGCCCCTCACTGCTGAGTCGGCTGTGCCCAGCATGGAGTCCAGCCTGTGGTGGTGGTCTGTAAATACGTATCGCAGTCTAGTCAGTGCAACCACTGAAGTCATTGGGTGTTCCAGCTTCCTGAGGGCAGCAACCACCCCTCATAGGAAATTCCCTTGTTCACTCCTAGTGCAAGGCGCAAGCGTGAGCAGAACCTCCAGAGCACCACTGCAGTCGGGCTGCGGGTGGTCTCTTACCTGAGCTTCCTGTCTTTTGCCCTCAGCAGCAGACACTGCACTAGGTGGTGCCATCAATTTAACCAGAACCCTTCTTCAATATTAGGTCTTATTTCTTATAATAATGCAGTTTAAAAGAAGTGATGCTGTTTATAAATAAAGATGGTTCATCATCTTTCAAGAGATATTTTTGACTTTAGGGGTTTTGTTTAAGAGAGTTAAAATGTGTCTCTTTTTTTTTTCTTTTTTTTTTTTAAAGATTGGCACCTGAGCTAACAACTGTGGCCAATCTTTTTTTTTCTTTTTTCTTCTGCTTTATCTCCCCAAATCCCACCCTGGTACATAGTTGTATATCCTAGTTGCAAGTACTTCTAGTTGTGGCACATGGGACGCCGCCTCAATGTGGCCTGATGAGCGGTGCCATGTCCGCGCCCAGGATCCGAACCAGTGAAACCCTGGGCCGCTGCAACGGAGCGCGTGAACTTAACCACTCGATCACGAGGCCGGCCCCAAAATGTGTCTCTTGTACTTAAATAATCTGTAGGAATTTTCATAAAGTGGAAATTATAGGAGATGTAATGAGAAATGGTCAGAAACTTTAGTAACAGGAGACTTTGATACACTTCCTTAGCCCAAGGCCAATCAAGTGATCAGAAATAAGTACAGTTATGGAAGATCTAAACAACATTATAAGGTAGAACTGATGATTATATATCAACTCTGTAACCCAATATTAGAAAATACACTCTTTTCAAGTGTTTATGGAATATGCAAAACTTAACTGTATCTTTAGTCTGTAAAGAAAACAATAAATTTCAAAAAGTAGAAATATTAAAAATGACATTTGGGGCAAGCACAGGGGCGTAATGGTTAAGTCTGCATGCTCCACTTTGGCGGCCCAGGGTTTGCGGGTTCGATTCCCAGGCATGGGCCTACCCACCACTCATCAAGCCACGCTGTGGTGATGTCCCACATGCAAAATGGAGGAAGATTAGCACAGATGTTAGCTCAGGGCCATTCTTCCTCACCAAATAAACAAATAAAAACATTTTACCAATACAATGCTATAAAATGAGTAATTAATTATAAACTGAGAAAACAAAATGATCCTTAACACTTCGAAATTTTAATACACCCTATTAAACAAACACTACATATAAGATTCTAGACAGCCATAGCAGATCTCAGAGAAAATTCATCACCTTAAACACTTGTGATAATAAACATGAAAGAATGGAAATAAATCAATTAAGCATCTGACTGAAAATTTTTGAAAGAATAAGAAAGTATACCAAAGGATAGCAAAAAGAAAGAATCGATGAAGATTAAAGCAGATTTTTTAAATGTCTGCCTCCTTATGAGCTAAAAAGTAAGTGGCCTGGTTGTGGTGTTTAAAGTTTTAAATGTAAGCTGAATTGAGCTACAATGCTGCAGGTTTAAATCACCAAGAAAAGGATCTTGAAACTAAACATTGAGTTAAATTCAGTGAGGCAAGTAATTCCATCCTGGCGTATTTATCAGACAGGCACAGAGGGTGCATAGATATTTATCGGTTTGTCCTGGCACCTGCGTGGAGCTGCAGTGCATAGAGATGCACTGCAGAAATTCTGTATCTGGGAATAGATTTGAGTCTCTTGGCAGAGACCTCATTAGTGAAAGGCTTCGTGATGAACAGCGCACGCAGTCTTCAGACAGCGCCCTGAAGCACAGGCCTCAGCAGTTTCCGTATCACAGCGTCAGGTCCAGGAAAACATGCCCTTCTCTGCCTGGAAGAAGTTGAGGCAAAGAACAAAACTGGATTCCCTGTGAGACACCTCTGAAACAGAAGCTCTTTGATGTAGATCAGAGAACTAAGTAGAGCGGGCTAATTTCCTCTGAAAAGACAGTCTAGAGTAATAGCTGCTGTTGGGGTTCCCTTTTTTTAATCACTTGGATACACTATTCAAGTGAAAAATCAGCCTGCACTTTCTTGACCCTTGGGGTCCTCACTAGTATCCTCCCTGATTTTTGGATGTTTTTCATGTTTGTAGTCTTTTTTTAACCGGATATGTGATTGAGACTTATTGTTTAAAGTCTGGTCGTTGTGTAAGACATTATAATGCTTCTGCTCTTTAAAGATTGCTTTATGATGTATTATTTTTCCTTTAGATCAGATCGTATTCTACATCAGAATCACCTGAGAGCCCTAAAAAGTACAGATTCGTAGGCGCTCATGCCCAGAGATTCTGATTCATTGGTCCAGGGTGGAGCTTAGGCATCCGTATATATTTTTAAGCTCGTGTATAGCCAGGGTTGAGACCCACAGTCTAAACTACTACTTTCACATTGACATCGTTTGATTTTTTTTCATACTGGCATTTTCTTTGAAATAAGAAAATGGATAACTTTTTATGATTGGCATATAAAAAGATAAATCTGAGTAATTTGAAAAAATAGTGTTTATAGCTCATTTAAGAGACAGTCTCTGAATGATATGTGGATCTTAATATAATAGAATTTTACTGTAAATGAAAGTTGATCTCTGGAATGAAATGAATCCTTACGGGATTTTGTGCTCTATGTTTTGTGAAATAATATCCTTTCAAAATGTCTCAACATGGGGTAGTCTAGGCTTCAAAGAGATGAAAATTAACGAAACTTTGTGTAACATATTACGTGTCGTATGTTCGCCAGTAATCGGTGGTGGGTCAGAACAGAGGGATTGTAAAAGTTCGTTGTTTACACAAATACATAGGCACTTTCTTTCCTATTGTTTTATATATTCCTCTTGTGCTTTCAGATATGCAAGAACTGTACAGGTTGCTTTGATCGACATATCCCATGTGTTTCTCTGAACTGCCCAGTACTTTTCAAACTCTCCCAAGTAAACAGAGAATTATCCAAGGCACCGTATCTCCGGCAGTTACTAGACCAGTTTTAAATTGTCAATATCACAAAATCCCAGGTGCTATTTTTTTCGGTGTTTACCACTAGACTGTTGTGCATGGTGCTTTTTCAACTTTCATTGAGTCAAGTATGTCATTGTCTGTTATCTGAAGACTATGAAGACTTCTATGCTAACTGAATTAAAAACTGTACTAGTTGATCTCTGAATAGCTCACTTCTTACAATGTACAAAGTCTTCATCCTTTCACCTTTTTAACATTGTTTTATAATGCAGGTGTTGAATTTGCTCCAGTATGTGTAACATCTTGTAAATCCATTTGAGTAGATCATATTTACTTCCCTGTGGAAGGAGCACTGAAAACCTCTTAAAAAAAAAAATTTCGTGTGTTTCCTTGAACTGTCTGTATCAAGACGTGTTACTTAGAGATAACCCATTCACTTCATAATTTTGACTGCGAAATATTTTGTAAATACACTTTTTTACTTTTCAAACAACTGAGTAAAATAATGTGCAATGAATTTTATACAAATGATTTTCAAGTTGTTTGGTATATTTCCTCTAGGTTTTGCTTGACTCAGAGTAGAGTTGTTATTTTGATCAAACTGTGCAAACAATAGTACCATGTGTAGCATTTTGAAACATTATTTTCTAAAACCGCTGTCTTGCTTTAGCTATTAATGGGGCATTGTGAGGAACTGTGCAAAGACATTTTTGTTACAAACCTGTGGGCCTGTTGCAATACTTTAAAAATAAAAAAATTTATTCCATTTTTGCTTGTTTTGTATAGACATTTCTATTGCTTCTAAATATGCTTAAAATATTTTCTTTCCTTATGTACTGTACAGTTAATCTTATTTGCCATCATCTTGAACACAAAATGTGTATTTAGAATATTTGTATAACTGTATAAAATGAAAAAGGAATTATGTGGTCAGTGCATTGTTTTCTAAACTGGAAATCATTTTGTTTTAAAAGTTAATAATGGAAACCATATTAAAATTGAATAAAATATGAAATACAGCCATGTGATTTTATCTTCTATAAAGGGTATTATCTTCATCTGTTTAGCCTACGTTGCTTACATCTTACCCTACCCTTTTCTGAAGTTGAGGTAAATTTATCTCATTGTCACATCCTAATTAATGTTGCAATTCCCTTACCAAACGTTAGAATTAAAAAAAAAATGGCAGCAAAAGTAGTATAGGAAAAATTTAGCTCTCAAGCTCTCATCCTTTTAGAGTTCTAAGAATCCGCTTGTTAGTAGATCTTCCATATTCATTTTCATTTAGATATAATTAATCTTGAAGCCAGAGGAAAAGCAAAAATTACATTATTGCTTTTTAAAAGCTTAAATACCAATTTTTTCAATAGAAAAAAGTGTCTTATTTTAACATAGAAAGCTCACCTGGTTATACACCAGAAATAGGTCTTCCATTGCCAAATTCAGTACTTCCAAATACCGGGGGGATTGGTTTTCTGAAAGTTACGTGGTAAATATGGAATCAAAGAGATACAAATCATGTCTCTGCACATACTTCTCCTAAGTCACGTGGAGACATGATACACCCCCACTTCGGGGGATCTTTTCTTGTTTGGGAGGCTGGGGCTAGTCCTCAGAATTAGGGTTTTCTTACCCTTGTGTGAGTGGCCAATAATGTTTTTTCTGTTACTCTCCCTTTTCTAAGTTCTGTGCTATCATCTTTCTCATCATGGTAACTGGACACAATATTCTCAACAGAATAATCTTGCTTAACCTCTTTATAATTGGACATAGCCAGACTAATGGTTATTCAACATAAATGCCCAAAACTAGCTCAGTTTTAGGCACTTAGCATCTCTCTGGTTTCCTTTTCTGCAGGTATTGCCTCCCTTATAACTCCGTCCTCAAGTCTGTAGCTTAACTGCCTTTTTTCTTTTTTTCTTTTTTTTTTTTTAAAGATTTTATTTTTTTCCTTTTTCTCCCCAAAGCCCCCCAGTACATAGTTGTATATTCTTCATTGTGGGTCCTTCTGGTTGTGGCATGTGGGACGCTGCCTCAGCGTGGTTTAATGAGCAGTGCCATGTCTGCGCCCAGGATTCGAGCCAACGAAACACTGGGCTGCCTGCAGTGGAGCGCGCGAACTTAACCACTTGGCCACGGGGCCAGCCCTCCTTTTTTCTTTTTTTTGCTGAGTAAGATTTTCCCTGAGCTCTAACATCTGTTGCCAATCCTCCTCTTTTGCTTGAGGAAGAGTAGCCCTGAGCTAACATCCATGCCAGTCTTCCTCTATTTTATATGTGGGTCACCTCCACAGCATGGCTGAGGAATGGTGTAGATCTGCACCTGGGATCCAAACCTGTGGACCTGGGCCACCAAAGCAGAGTGCACTGAACTTAACCACTACACCACAGGGCCAGCCCCATCAGCTGCCTTTTAGTGAAATTCATTTGCTGTTTCAGTAACTGTCACCTGTGAGGGTGTCGAAACTTGGACCTATTTTACCAAAGAAATATAAGAAGCTTCCAGTATACTTTTCATAATTATTTTCCCTCCCTTTTAGATCAGCTATTAATAAAGTTTTGTCATTCACTCAGACCCACACACACAAGAAAAAGAGACTCCATTTTCTGAGAATGCTGTGAAATAATTTCATTAAACATTCCCTTAAGTTTGTTAAAACATTTTCTCATTCTGCCCGCTTCCCACCAGTGCCTTTCCCTGGATGTAAAGCATTAACAAAAGCGCCTGACAACTCTGTCTCCCCTCCCCACCCCCACAGAGGCCCCAGTCAACAGTGGGAAATGGGCAAATGCTGAAACATGTAATATTCAATTCTATGTGAACTTCAATCGTGTCTGTGAAGAAGGCCAATATATTGTGGACCACAGATAAAAAATGTAAACAGAGGGACTGGCCTGGTGGTGCAGCGGTTAAGTGCGCACATTCCGCTCTGGTAGTGTGGGGTTCACCAGTTTGGATCCTGGGTGCCAAGCCATGCTGTGGCAGGCGTCCCACATGTAAAGTGGAGGAAGATGGGCACGGATGTTAGCTCAGGGCCAGTTTTCCTCAGTGAAAAGAGGATTGGCAGCAGTTAGTTCAGGACTAATCTTCCTCAAAAAAAAAAAAAAAAACAAACAGAACAGCTATAAAAATTCTTAGAGGAGGTAGTCCCATGAGGGCTGGAGCAGGCTACCCAGAGAGTTTGTGGACTCTAGTCAGCCATGCCAATGGTCATAGAACCACCTTATGAGTCTCAGAGGATGCACATTCCCTGCCATCAAGCACACTGCCCTGTGACCTAGAATTCTCTTCCAGAGCTGTATTTTATACTAGTAAAGTCTTATAGCTTATGGTTTTCATTTTCATAATAGCTGAAGCAGAGGGATATTCCTTTAAGGCCTATCAAATAAGCTTTTAAACTGATTTCTCAACTTCAGGATAGTATTTCTTAAAATATTCATATGTTTGATTTTATAAAGTAAAAATAAACTTGGCTGTAAACATTTTTGGAGCTCTGCCACAAATAAAGGGAAGAGGCGAGGAAGGCAGCAGCACACAAGGAGCTGTTCTGAGGCTGGGTAATTGCTGCTTTCGCCCAGTGAGACCTGTGCCTCTTGGAGGACAGTCAGCCAAGTTCATGCTACTTACTCATACCCCGTGATACCTTGTCTCTTTCCTCTGATGAGACTTGTGACCTTTAACCACTTTTTGGTTTATTAAAATGAATGAGGGGCCAGCCCCGTGGCCTAGTGGTTAAGTTCATGTGCTCCACTTCAGTGGCCCAGGGTTTGCCAGCTTGGATCCTGGGTGTGGACATGGCACCGCCCATCAAGCCATGCTGTGGAGGCGTCCCACATAGAACAACTAGAAGCACTTACGACTAGGATGTTTAACTATGTACTGGGGCTTTGGGGAGGAAAAAAAAGGAAGATTGGCAACAGATGTTAGCTCAGGGCCAGTCTTACTAAAAAAAAAAAAAAAAATGAAATCTGATACCATTAATGCTCCAGAGTTCTGCTTAATAAATAGCTTTATAGGGGCCGGCACCGTGGCCAAGTGGTTAAGTTCGCACACTCTGCTTTGGCGGCCCAGGGTTTCGCTGGTTCAGATCCTGGGTGTGGACATGGCACCACTTGTCAGGCCATGCTGAGGCAGTGTCCATAGCACAACCAGGGGCACTCACAACTAGAATAGACAACTATGCACTAGGGGACTTTGGGGAGAATGATTAAAAAAAAAAGAATGGCAACAGTTGTTAGCTCAGGTGCCAATCTATAAATAAATAAATAGCTTTATATAAGAAGATAGCCATAGATTGTTTCTAGCATTTGGGATCCAAGGAGGAAGTCATAATGATGAGGATTATTTTAGGCTGGTTACTTTTAAAAACTGCAGATGAGAAGCAAGCTCTGAGGAGTGGAATTTGCTTGCCCTTTGATGAGAGACATTTGCATTTGTGAAGGAAGTCTCCATCTGTGGGGGTGTCTCCCTGTCTGCACCAGGAGGAAGGGGGGGATGGCCTTATCTCTGGAAACTCTTAATGGGGAAGGCAAGGACTTAAGTCATTTACTGTCTGGTAACCTCATGTAACTGACCCCCCCCCCCCCAACATCCTCCTTTGTCTCTTTCGCTGAAGATAATATTTAAGGTTGTGGCTTCTGCCATTTACTTAATCTGGTTTGATTCTTATCTAAAAGTTATAAGACCACCCAATAACCAGACCCCACCTGCACTGATACCATTTTAACAATTTTTTTTTTACATAGTCTTTCCTTTGTCTTGTAAGGAGATAACTCACATACTTATGCCTTAAATGTAGCCCTACTCTCAACCCATGTTTGCAGCAGCAGCTCTGACTGCCCATGGGTCCTATCCCCATGCTATTCCACACTATTCTCTAAATAAAAGAGCACTACTGCCAGACCTTGAGAGTCCAAGAAATCTTTCTTTCGACTCTTCAGCTCGCCGACCAACCCTGCATCAGTAAGAAAGACACAGCACTGAGTCCACTGCGGCTCTGTCTCATTTCCTCAGCCTCACCCATAGCTATGTTTTGTCACTGGCCAAGCTCCAAGAATGGCTTACGAAGCAAAATATCTTGTAGCGGAAGAGGAAGTCTCAGACTTACAAATCAGGTTTCTCTCTGTATTTGGGGAGAAGAGAATGTGACCAGGAAGACTCACCATGGCTAACCCCCTGGGGCCCAGCAGAGGAAGCAGACTAAAACCAGTCTTCTGTGACACAGCCTATTTGCTTATCCTAATAGCCACAGCCTGAAGGGCAGGTTTCTCATTTCACACACATCCCGGGCCGACTGCAATACTCTCCAGAGACTGGCAAGGTGGGTGGGTGCCATCTTCCCTCTCTCCCTCTGCCTTGCTCCAGGTCACTGGTATCCCCCAGTAAGAAGCTTGTACATACATCTGGCATCTTGCTTTTTTGCAGCTGCCACCCAGGGGACAGCCTTTGATCACCTAGTTCTGGTGGGCAGCTTGTGTCCACTGGTTCAATGGGACTATAGCCAATAAATTAACAGTTCTTTTTTTTTTTTTTTTTTTTTTGAGGGAGATTAGCCCTGAGCTAACTGCTGCCAATCCTCCTCTTTTTGCTGAGGAAGACTGGCCCTGAGCTAACATCCATTCCCATCTTCCTCTACTTTATGCATGGGACGCATGTATAAAGTACATGCCAAGCAGTGCCATGCCCACACCCAGGATCCGAACCAGTGAACCCTGGGCCGCCGAGAAGCAGAACGTGCAAACTTAACTGCTGAGCCACCGGGCTGGCCCCAAATTAACAGTTCTTAACTCGCCATCACCCCAGGACTCAGTGCAGTGGGATCAGACAGAAACTTCCACCTCCTGGTCTTCCTCTGAAAGAGGTATATTTGCATACTTTAAAAGCTGCTGCCTGAGGGTCTGGCTTCTAATCAGCCTGCATCTAGGTGCTGCCTGATATCCTATCCTTTCAGACACTGACAGGTCTTGGCAGACCCTCAATTACTAGGAGCCACTAAGAACAAAGAAGGCTGCTTGGACAG